CTACCGATGTTGTTGTAGGAAATAGCCAAATCGGGATGATTTGGAGGTAGAGCTTTTTCGTAGATTTGATGTGATTTTTCATAAAATTCAAGTGCTTTCGAGTAGTCACCCATGTTGTTATACACTGTACCGATGTTGTTGTAGGAAGTAGCCAACTCGGGATGATTTGGAGGCAGAGCTTTTTCTTTAATTTGATGTACTTTTTCGTAAAATTCAAGTGCTTTCGAGTAGTCTCCCATGTTGTTGTACACTAGAGCAATGTTGTTGTCCGTAGGAGCCAATGAAGGATGATCTTCTGGAAGAGTTCTTCGACAGATTTCGAGCGATTTTTCGTAAAATGAAGCTGCTTCGTTGTATTGTCCTTGGTTGTTTTTCAACCGTCCAAGCTGGTGATAGATATGCGCTTTATCACTGTTGTTAGAAGCCTGTTCTAGTAGTGCTGTATATAATTCTTCAGCCTTGTCAAATTGACTTATTTGGAGCAGCAATGTACCCATTCGATACCATCCAGTGCTACCTGAGGATTCTTCTCGTATACAGTCGGTTAATTGACGAAGTTGTTGGTCATCATCAGACGTAAGTTTAAGGTCCACTTGATAAAGTGGACTTTCCTTGTCAATTTTTCGAACTTCACCAATTCGAAAGACGGTGTCCATCGAGAAGAGAATTTCCTCTTCTTGCACGAAATCACTAACCTCCTTGATGGAGGCAAAGGGTGTTGATGACACCGTGGGATCGATAGTCATTTGAAAGAGAATACCGACCATATCGGTTGCCCCTAAGATGCTTTCGGCAAAAGCGAAGGAGACATCACGATCTGTACTGGTGGATAAAAAATTATTAAACGATATGAGACCACCTTTGTTTTTTGCAAGTTTTTCGAAGTCAGTTGTGGATAATCCTTGGCCCCTATAAACTAGAAACGACTTTCCATAATATTGACTGACCTGTTGGCTGTGTAATTTTTCAATTTGTCGATGAACATCACACAGGAAAAATCCCATTCTAATGATTAGGTCACCGTCGAGTGTTCGTAATGCACGATTGAGCATTTTGAAGGTGAAACATTGGCGTGTGTACCACCATAAGGCCAATGTTGGATGATAAGTACGTTGAAATTCATCGATTAACTTGAGTTCGTTAGTATTGTCTTGGTATTGTTCTTGGCAGAAGGCGACCAAATCCTTGATAGCTTGTTGATCATGTTCCATATCAAGGAGTATTTCCTTAAATATCTGGGTATACATGAATGATGGTTCTAGCTGATTAAGATTTTGCCTAGAACCATCTGCATCACCACTAATTATACTGACCATTATATTGTTTTGATTATATTGTTTGATAGCTATTTGCAACATTTTGCATATAGACTCGATTGATTCGTTGATACCTTTAATTTTTGTCCAATACTTAGCCCATTCTTCATGAAGTTCCTTATTTTGAGAAAAAATATATATAGTATCAAGATTTTGCATTCCATGAATAGTTGGTACAAGAACTTGTCCAAGTTTACCAGAGGAGATAATGAAAGATGTCTCCTCCTTGTTTTCATTGAGTAATGTGATGCATTCTTCTGCTGTGATGCACAATTTGACTTCATTAACAATACCTCGTAATTGCGACAGTGTATGTTGACAATCTTCATTTTTCATATTGATATTCGCATCAATCCATATGACTAAATAGTTTTCAGTCATACGTTGTCGTGGTTGTTGATTCATTTTCAATGTATTAGTGAATAATGTGTATGAACAGAATTTACCTTTCGTATTTATATATTCGATGCATTTTGTTTTCTAGATTTTTCTACGACGTGAAATGTTAATATTTCATTTTTTCGTCAATACTCGATAACAACTTATGCCTAGCACCAATCAAAGGTATGCTTGTCAAAAAACAAATTAAAGGGAAAAAACCCATCAACGTCATTTGTGGTGTGATTACTTTTTACCATTTGCATTTACGTTTCATGTGAAGCATGGCATAAATTTCATTTTATTGATATCTTTTCTCATACGTTGTATATTTCGATTCTTTCACAACGAAGCTTTTTTCTCTTGCTGAGAAGAACGAAGAAAACCAAGGACATCGTCTGTGTTTTTTTTTCTCATTATGCATACGATTGACATGCTGATAATGTGAATCAAACAAGAATAAACATCATTATAGTTTTTATATAGACAAAGATTAAACAATGATATCTAGTTGCCGAATATACTAAATCACTGACCATCTAATTAAAGTAATTTTTTTATTCATGTTCATTCGAAAAAAAATATATACAATAAAACGATATTTTGTTTTCGTATTTTTCAATAACTGTCCCTCTTTCATTAATTTCTAAGATTCATAAAGAAATAATAATCAACTTTTGTTTATTCACACAATTTTAACATATGCTACAATGGTAACAGGAAAACTTCTCCTATCCAAACATGTATCACTAGAACTATGTGCATTATGTATATCAATTGAAGCTATAGTACAAAACATGTTTTAATTGAAAACTATTTCTGCTTGTATGATTGTAAAACAGAGTCATACATGCTCGTATATAATCAAGAAATAATAAAAAGAGTTGCTGGTATTCTTCTGGCTAAAATCGGTAGGAATATGGCAGGCATGAATACTGTTTTTCTTGATTTAAAATTGAGAAAAAAAAACCATTGTTATTGTATTGTATGCTTGATACCTTTTTTCGAATGCAAAACTGTCTTCCTCAAATAAAAAGCGTGAGCTGGAAGGTTGAGTTCATGATTCTTTTGAGTTTCTTCTGAAGATGCAACCGATTCAGAAAAGATCAATCAACAAAGAAAAAGTCACAAAATTATTTTTATTATTGTTGTCGTTGTTTTTTTTCTGTCGTTCGTGCCTGTACGATGAATAAAAATATGACGATAAAATATGTAAATAAAAGACTATTGAAGAACCGTAATATTACATTTTTTTTACTCTCCTTTTAGACTCAATTGCATTATATTCATTTCATTTCTCTACATGATCATTGATTCATATGCAATTAACATTATGAAAATCTATCTATAGGTTGTATTATATGCTTAGCATAATATTAAAAAAGACCATAAAATCGAACGAATATTCAAGAACTGGTTCTCTAGAGCTGACATTTATTATGTTAGGGAAGAATATTTAAAAACTTGTCTTAATGCAAATAGAGTTTTTTTCGAAAGCTTTCTTAGTTTTGAAATTGTTTAACTTGAAAAATTGAAGAAAATCTTAATATAGAATAGTTTGCTAAAAAAAAGGAACAAAGTGATTTCATAAACTTAGACTTACAAAAGAAAAATTATTTATCTCTAGCATCTACACTTTGCTTTGAGGCTAGACTGATGATCACAAAGTTGATAAACTTGCATTTTTAGTTGAACATCATCAACAGACTTTATACTTCAATGGGCATATGCATCTATTCGATGAAATTAAGAATTATTCAGAGATCGGTAAAACAAAAAATGGTGAACTCGTAAGTGATATAGGTATAGATATAAAGTATCACTGAATGAAATATTTATATTATTGCTCCTAAACCAATAATTCTGAATATTAGAGGATTTTAATGAGTTACATTCGAGATATTAGTAAGACATTCTATACTTAAATATTATGAAAATGTCATAAAACATCATTCGTGAATGAAGATAATCTTTCTTCCAGCAAACAGATCTTCATATAATGCACTTCATCAAGATTAATTGTATTGTTTAGTTTCAATCTACAAATAGTTTATTTCAAAGACAATCACATAAATTTTAATGAGATCCAACAGTGACAATAAGATTTTCATGGTTCAAAGATCTACACAAAATTTTATGTTTGAGTTTGTCAAACGACTTTATCTAGATAATATATATACATACACCTGTCTGTATCAAAAAATGGTAATGATTATGTGTGTCAATTAATAACTTTAGTTTGAATATTGAAAGATCTGTGGAAACTAGTGTCTGGTATATTGAAAACTGTGAAAATTACCCATAGTTATTCCATATAGGTAATCCATCTACGTATAAAAATATGTTTAATGTTTAAAAATATGCAATACTATTTTGATTATATTATGTGATCTGAGCTTTTTTACAACGTTGCACAATGTTAAAATGTTAATAATCATTTAGAATTTGTTATCTATAGTCTTTAATTGTAAAAAAAACAGTGATAAAACATCGTGAAAGAAAATTTCAAAAAAAAGATTTATTTATCAATATCTGCTATAGCTTGGTATATTTGAAGATTTGTGTCGTCAAAACAATTCGTATCTTTAGATAGTCTTTCATAGGTGTTCATCGGACTCTTATCTATCGAAGAGCACTAATTATTATTGAATACGATATGGAAAATAATAAATTAGAAATAATCACCTAGAATGAATTTCTTTATCTACTTTATTTTGCGATCATCAAGAAATTGATGTTCAATTAATGCTTTTCTTTTTTCATTCCACTATTTTATTCAAAGTTTTTCTGTTTTTGTGTTTATTTTAATAATATTGACTTGCATTATAACAGAGACAAATCTTCAGCGATTCATATCGATATTTCGAATAAAATTGATTATTTTTAATATCAACTATATTTTTCACTGATCGATGAAATATAAAAAATTTTAAAACTAATTCTTATAATTGAATTTTTCAATCATTTCTGGTTATTCATTTTTGAGAGAGTCGTCAACAACAAAAATTAAATGAAATGCTCAATATAATACAATGAATTTTTCTTATCAACTTGTATTGATAGTCACTTGAAACAGAACACCGATTATTCCTTCTGTTCCTAAGGCTATTGTCTTCCTAGAATTTCGTATGATTATAAATGTCTCATTATCTTATCCTTGGTATTAATATCCTATCATTATGGTGTGCATCAACAGAAACATTAATTTCAAAAAAAAAATCAATGATCTATGTTTTTTTCTTTACCAATACACCGCTTAATATAAAATGGAATAAGTTTCAATAATGTTGAAACAATATTTGATACAATTTATATAAAAAAGCCTTTTATCGTGTTCTAATATAGATTCAATATCGATTTATTTTTACACAATATAAAATCATGTCGGATTCATATATGAATTTTCAACAGGCGATACACATAATTTTGTTACGCTTTATTATATTTATGTCGAAAATCATTTATATAAATATATTTCAAAACAAAATGATTTCTTAGCTGGAAATTATATTATTAATATTGAAATATCTTTGTCAACTATATGATGTTATTGTAAGAAATAAACAAATAAATTAATTATTTACTTATTATTTAATGGTCTTCATTGTATTGATTATTTAACAAGAAAAATATTAAATATAAACCATATTTTTATAGATATAATTTCAATAAATTCACTCAATCTAATCATAAAAAAAGTGCAAACAACAAATAATTTAACAAAAGAAGGAATTTTACAAATATTGATAGTTAATATATGCCAATATGTTCAACATTATTTAAAAATTTTGAAAGATTAAGTACACATGATTTATCATCCTATGAACAACTTTCATGTGATACTATATTAACATCAATTCATAGTAATAATACATCATCATTGCCAGTTAATGGATGTTCATATATGTTTTAATAATTGAGAAGAAGAACTTGTTTTTTTTTTGTTAATATTGAATATTCAATAGAATAATTACAAATTCTAATTGGACTATATGTTCGTTGGTTAACAACAAATTCAAATAATTTATGTAATATGAATTAATGCGTTTGTTTATATATCTTTCTGATTTGTTTATATATCTTTCTGATTTGTTTATATTATCAGAACATTTATCAAATTTATATGACCTATATGATGAATATTTTCGTACATTAAATGATGTCATTAATAAGCTAGGGTTTATAAAAATCTGGCATATTACTTGGACAAAAACAACAAAAGAATATAGTGAATTATTTATAAATGAACATGTTAATAAAGAACAAGAAATGATTGATCGATTATTAATAATATCATCATCAGATAGTATTCTTATTGAACCTGTTGAAGAATTATGTGAACGTATTAAACAACCATCAACATTACCATTATTACTTGCACATATTGGCTTATCACATCGTTTAATGAATAAAATGATTTTGGAATTTGCTGCATCAATACAACACTTATATCCTCACAAAGTTGCATATAGAGTTTCTGCCGTTTTTTTTTGTGCTGTAATTAGTGCACATTATTTAGCTAAAGTTAATAAATGGATCTTATTATTAATGAATAGTATTGCACAAAGAAAGTCAATACGTATGGCTATATGGGGACTAAATTGTCTTATGTTAAGTACATGTCCATCGCATAAAACTACTAATGCATTATAAGTATTTACTTAAGAGAGACTTTGCCAGAATATCGCCCAAATACATAGATACTGTCCGGAGCTAAAATATAAATTTTGATCTTTGATATTTTATTTGAAAGGTCATAATGTGTACATAGAAAAGCCAAAAGTATTAGGATCAAATGTCAATGCAATTGTGAAGAAATAAGGGACACAAGTTAACCATCCTCATGAAGCCTGTTAAAATTGGCTGATTTGTTTTTGATTTTCTTGGATTTTCTTGTGTACCTTATATTTTTGTTAAAATTCGGCTCTACTTTCATCTAGAAAAAAAATCAAAATACAAAAACTCACGGCAAATTATCAAACGAAACCGTTCTAGGTATTTAGACCAAAATGACACTATTTTTCAAACATTCCAGAAAAATAAGATCATATTCTGAAAGCCTAGCAAAAACTGCATCTTTTGATATATAAGTCAAAGGGAAAAAACACGGCGTGGTTCAGAACGTCTTCAAACAAATGTGAAGTCTCACATACCTTTTTCATCAAAAAACATTTATTTTCTACATTTTTAAAAATCATTTGTTTTTTTGTTTTGGTTTTGAGGGTATGGGTGTGGGTATATGGGTGCATCCACACTCACACCCACACCCTTATTATTTTACTTTTATTTATTCGAGGAATGTGTGTTTCGTTCTCGCGCTTCAGTCTCATAGACAAATGTACAATCAAATAGGTTTATAAGAACAGAAAATAACACAGATTGACTTAAAAGTTTCTATTATTATAATTAGAAGTAAAAAGTACAATAAAACAAAAAGATTTAGGTTTGTTGATTAAAATATTCAATTTTTTTACTTGTTCTTCGTTTTTCTTTCAGTAAATTTAAATTTCTGAAGAATCCATGCATGTAGTCATTGTTTCGACCACCTATACTCATGTTGTTCACATAAATAGAAAAGAAAGTTCTTTTATTTGCCTTGAAAAAGAGAGAGAGATTTAGTTGTTAATAAAAGATGAGTATCTGACAAATCCACGAAATCGTGTATGATATATCATTATTCTTAATGCTAATATTAATTAAATGTATGAATGTATGTAGTATATACTGCTTTCATTCATTGTTATTTTATTTCACATTTTGAGAGCTTCCTGACGTTAGCGTGGTAGTACACAAATAAGAAGTATCCTTGAAAATGAGTTATTTTTCTTGTTTCGTTCTCACAGCAAGCAAAAAATAAAAGAAAAACCATAATAACTTCTATTGAAGAAGAAATCATACTGACTTATATCAGTGTGCATAGAAAACTTATTGAAAACATGAGTTTTTCATCTCAAAAAAAAAG